CCAGGTGTGTTGTGGGCATGCTGCAGGTGGGTCAATGGTACATTGATATGAAGGAAGGTCATCTGTGTAAAATAAAGAGAAAATAAAGAAGAAGTAGAATAGGAAGAAAGTGAGGAAACAGAAAGGAGGAGTGTGTCAAGAACATGTGAGGAGGGCAGTGTCCCTGGACCTTTCCCTGGAAGGAGGCTGGAGGTAGAGAACGAGCAGAGGGACTGCAGCCTCAGTGACTCAGAGAGGAGTGCTGTGCCTATGTTCGGTAATGCTTTAGGAGTCTGGTCCTTAACTTCGGAACAGGGGGGCACAAACTCTGGGGGAGTAGTCATTGATTTTGCACTGAAGTGCCATCAACTACAGTACAGGTCTTATATACATAATAGAGGACAAATGGGAACAAAGGGGAAAACCCAAGGGGGACTTACCCACTTGCCGGGTCAGTGAGCTCATGAGAGAATCGCCTTATCGGGCATTGTGGAGTGGGTAGGTGAAGGGTGGAATTAGCAACAGCTACTAGAAGTGGGAAAACCTTTGTGGAGTGGGCGGAGGTCCTAGGAGGTCTGTAGTAATATTGGGTAGATAGACATATTAATAATTGTGTAGGATGAGGATAAGAGGTACCGGAGAAGGTACCGGAGATCGGAGGCGGAGGTGAACCAGAGGTGAACCAGAGGTGAACTGGAGGGTATAGCGGAGGTGTGGGGGGAGGATGGACTGGAGGTGGACCAGAGCAGTGGTGGAGTGGAGCGGAGGTGTAATGGGTTGGTGTAGGTTCCAACCCCAGTTCTCCTCAATCCTCAGGTCGTCAATAAAGTTGAGCTGTATGGAGCTTTAATTATCTGGGGTTTTGGTGCTGGCCGAGGTTACTTGTGTTTCGCGGGATTTCCTGCGACCTTACCATTTGTAGATAGTCACGCATCTTGTACGGAAACCGCCGAAGGTGGTTCCCGCTAACTAACAACTACTCTCTACAACTGTCTTGTGTGTCGTCTTCTGTACAACCCATCCTGTGACTCAACTGAACCGTGCGACTGTACAACTCACAACATGTCTTATAAGCCTGGTTATGTTGAGTCCTCTAACGGTCCTCGCCGTGAGAACTCGAGGTTGCGAGTCGAAGACTCTCGACCTGTGTATCATCCTATGGAACCTGTACCCTATGGGACTTCATCACTCTGCTCTCCCCCAGTGCTCGACCGACGACGTCACATCACGATCTTGGAGATCGTGAATACTCTGAGGTCCACTTTCCCATGATGCCGGCACGTTCGCTATGCGAACGCCAAGTAGCCGCCTGTCCACCGTCTGTTCCCTCCTTCGTCAGTCATCATATTCCCCTGCCAACGGTACGTTCCCTTTGGGAACGCCAAGTCACCGAAGGCCCCGTTAGTCAATCCTCATTGCATGCTCATGATACCAACCCGCTACCGGTACGTTCGCGCTGCGAACGCCAAGTACCTGATGGCAGTTATATGAAGTTCTCACCCACCTCATGAGTCGTGACCTCGCACACGGTACGCTCCATTGAGGAGCGCCAAGTACCTGTGGCTGACACGTCCATCATGACGTCTCTGACTACCTACCATCAATTCCTTAATAGCTCACTACATCACCAATCATGATCGATGGGAATTCGATCATCCACTCCCTTGCAAGACTGGGATCACTCATCGATTACATATCCCATTATGGTACAGACTAGATATGACGTTCGTCATCCTGCTATAAGAATGGATCGAGGATTGGGGATTTCCCCCCATCCCCATAACAATACATGTTTAAATCGAGACAAATATACAATAAGATAACAAATGAAGGGTGGGGTTACCACTCCTTACAGGAGGTGAAGCAGAGTTGTTATGGATATGACAGAGTGTAAGGGATTAACCTTACTTCACTATAATTCCAATTATAGTGATATCATTATGTTGCATCGCTATAATTCCCATTATAGTGATGCTATTATTTCTTTATTTATTTGTGCTGAGATATGTAATTTACATATATATACCTCGGAGTAGTTGTAAAGGCCTGGTAGCCTTTTACCTCTGCTCCATTGAATATACAGCACATTAAAGCTTATGTTTAGACGGTGCAAGCAGGCTAGAGATCTAACCCCCTAAATGCAAGCAAATTTGTGGGGAGGGAGTCTGGGGTGTCTTAAGCTCGTCCTAGGTTCGGTCCAGGTGCTAACAAAACAAAAATAATCACAAAAATTACGTACCCCTGGTCCATCTTGGACAATTGTCAGGGATTCCTTATAATACTCAAGGAGTTAAGCTTAGAATGTCTTTCAACTTGGATCTCTCAGCGCTACAGTCTCTTTTGTAGTCAAAAGGGAGGTCTCTTTCCATTCCTACATGTACAGAGCTTTTAAACACATGGAACGGCAATAATGTGGGAAAAGAAAATATAAAGCGAAATATTGTTGCTACAGACACCATGTGGACCGTTAAGTACAGCCAATAAATCCAACAGCTGATGTGGAAGTTCAATAAAAGAAAGACAGGAGTGATAAGTGGGCCATATCCGCTAATAATTGCCATCCTCCACCAATTTCCACCATCACACCACACTCATCCGTCTCTTCCTACCCGTAGCACCCCTTCCTGACCTCTCCATTCGATTCCCTGGGTTCGTAGCTTTCTCCCGATACCAAATTTGTCCCAAATGGTTGAGATTTGACCGAGTGGTGGGCGTGAGAATCGTGAAATTAGGCCCGTGCGCAGGTTTAGACGTCCCAGGAAGTGTCCATGAGAGTCCCCATGTCAATTGGATCTTCATACGCATCCTTTGTGATTTTTCTGAATTTCTCTGAGCACTCCAGAGTGCATTTTGGTTGTTTGTTTACTTCAGTACAGCTTGTGATTTCCATTTTGGGCCGAAAACCAGTTTCGCAATCTCCTGAAGTACAGATCTCAGCTCTGCCACACGGGATTTTCGACACCACCACCCTCATGTGCCTTTCAACATTGTGCAGAACCTCACAGTAAGATGAGAAATTGTCACCACTATTGTTCCACAATGGCTGGGTCGATCAGGATGAAATTTGGGGAATCCATATTTATGATTTTTCTCTATTTTCTGAGCCCTTGATCGTCTCTCGGTGCCCAATAGTGCCAAGCATAGTTTTCAGGCTGGACCAATTCAGTACCAGCATGTTATGCACAATAATAAAATGAAATAAAATGTTTTTATGCACCATGGGGTTTGGTAGCATTGGTAGGTTATCTTCGCATGCAGGGAACCCCTAGTGAGTGTAAACCACAAAAATACTGGCAGTGTAGAGTATAGTAGGTTATCCCACCTACAACAGACCTACTGAGGCCTGAGGCAAATGGGGGAACAGAACGTTACCATCCCCAAAATAGTAAGACACCCTTCACTTTTTTACACTCTATTTCCTTTCCATTCTCAGCACCACGTTACTGGTGCCGAAACTCCATTTGGCAATGCACACATCGTCAGCCTGTTAGAACGGGCGGATTCGGATGACTCCGGAGTGGAATCGGAGACTTAGTGTGGAAGGACCTCGGCCTCAGTGACTCAGGTGGAGCGCTGTGCCATTGCTGGTTGTCCTAGGGGTCCCTAATTTCGGATCTAGCAGAGGGAAAGTCTCTTGGGGGCATTTCAGGTCGATTTCGGACTGAGGTTACAAGTTACTATGTACATTGTATATAAGGAGGGGTCCGGAATCAAAAGGAGCAAGGGTACTCTGAAAGGAGACAAAGGGAGCTGAAAGGAGGAACAACACCAAGGGTCAAGGGTTTGACTCAATGGTGTTTCCCAAAGGAGGAGTGAAGGGCCAAGGCCCAAGGAGGAAGGAAGGAGGATGGGAGTGGGGAATGGCTGACTGACTGAATAGAAAGGAAGCAGCAGCCCAAATAGGAATGAGGGAGAATAGCGGAATTGAATGGAGCAATGCAATAGTTGCAAGGTCCGACGTAAGTCCGGAAAGTCCGAACTTGGAAGTTAAACTCCAGAATATTAGCAAACATAATCAAATGGAATGAGCTAACCAATACAATGGGTATAAGCGGAGGTGGGGTCAAAGTCCGAGGTCGGAGCTAAGACCGGAGGTTCCGGAGACAGAGACGCAAACGGGATTCCGGAGCGGAGGTCCGGAGTCGGGAGCATAGGTGTTGCGTACTCATCTGGAAGGTGTCGAGGTTGAGGTTGGACCCGGAATGTTCCGGAGTCGGACCGAAGGTGGTGTCGGAGCCGGAGGTGGGATAACCTCTTGGAAGTCGGCAAGGAGAAGGTGACAGAAGGGAAGTAGGGCTCTGAAGTAAGTTTTGGAGTTCCGGGAGCCCAGAGCGGAGGTCGGGATTGTATGGATATGACACGGCCCCTGACAATGCACAACTTCAATCAAGTTCTCACATGAACTTGTTGAACGACACATCCTCCTGATGTTGAGATACAACACCAGGAGCACTTCTAACACTCCTGCCAACATGGCCAGTCCCTCCACTGGCCATAGGGTGGAAGACGACATCATGTCAGGGGACATAGCGTAAGCAGTTCTCTGTTACCCTATCGATATCACGTAAGACTATATCACTGCATGGAGCCGCATCGGCCCTCATATATCGTAAATCCCTCACCTTCTCCTGATCCAACTCTGCCCCCTGATCTGAGTGTTCCTTCATTTCTATTCACTTTGTTTTCTATCAGATCACTGTTTAGTTCCTTTGATCCGATCTCTCCCAATTGATTGATGTCACTCGTGTATATAGCTCTCTGTGCTGCTGAGGGTTGGAACCTCAGCTTTGTCTACAACTAGGTTTTCAGGCAATATTCGACTTGGACTGACGAGTGATCCCTGACAGATAGACAAAGCTACCCAACGTCGACTGCACTATCCTAGCCCTCAACACCACCCTACCTACTAGACAATCGCCCTCTCTACCATGTCTACCTCATGACTCTCTAAGGAGCAGATCGATGGCATAGTCACTCAGCTTATGGACGACCCTGATGCCATCCACACCCTAGCCACCCACATGAGCCGCACAGAGCAACCTCCTCCACCCCTATCTTGCGCTGCCCCTAAAAAGGCTAAGGCGCATCCTACTTGGGCGCAAGGAGCTAAGCGCCCTGCCCGTGCTAACATTTGTACCACCCCCCCTACACCTCCTTCCTGTGTCACCATGACCATCGGCATACCAGACGCCGTTGCTGGCCATGTCATTGGAAGGGTGGGTACTGGATGCATTAATCCTTTCCATTGTGTCCGCATATTTGGTGTGACCCTCTTGAATTGTGAATCGTGGAAAAGCCCAAAACACATCTTGGTAGCCTAGTCACAGTGCAAGCAAGAATCATAATGTGTTCACATGAACACCACCACAGTATTATATGTATCTGCTGCCTCTAGATTCTTCACACTCTCAACCTTGCAGATAGAATTTCCACAGACAGTCTAATGGCAGAATGAGCTTGCAGACCATGAAGTCCTTTACCTAAAATACGAAGTGACAAAGAAACCTGGTCTTTGGGCCAATTGGCATGCCTCAGGTTTAAACCAAGCACCATTCAAGGTGACATGGTTCTGGGACACCCAGGTGTCGAGGAGCAACAGAGGTGAAGGCACATCAACACCTGGCAAGGTGAACCATGGGGGCATGCCCTTTATGGAAAGAAGCTTGGAGACAGTCAAAGTTACAACAGCAGGCTTTGCAGGCTTCTTTTGGAAGCGTGGGAAGGTCCTCTTAGTCAGAAACATGCAGCTGGATGTTGGGTCTATGTGCATGAGATATGAATAATGGTGTTTGGAGTAAACAGAAAATCAAACGAAAATGACACTGCCATGCAACCAAGGATGTGGCATAGGGTCAATGATTTACTCTGATGTAAAATAAACTAATTCATTGTGCATACATCCATTATCACTCCGACATTGATATTTGGCCTTCAAATCAATTGCTGGCTCCAATCCTAACTTCTCAGCACAATGGAGTTGTGTAATGCTCTGAAGAAACAGGTTGTTTTTTGATTCAGAGGTTATTCTGCATTGTTCTTTGGCTTTCACCAAGAAATGACTAGAAAAATGGTGACTGTTCAAGTACATTAGTTTCTTTGTCATCCCTCAGCATACAAATTATACCATGTATGATAGTTGACAAAACCATGCTTTATAGACAATGCCCAGTGGAAATTGAAACAAGTTGGCAATGCTGATGCCATCAATACAACAACGCTTTATGTAGTGTTAGCCTTGTGCACAGGAACCATTTTCACTTCAATTAATAGGCATGGAAAGAAACTGTCAACAGGAGTTTTTTTGAGGATGAAAAAGAAACAATCCCAAAAAACTTCATACTGAACAGAGCTGTTAGAGACCAGATCGAGACGAAGGAGTGTCTCCATGGCGGAGGGCTTCAGCCTCAGCGACTTATGCCAGGAGCGCTGTGCCAAGTAACATGTCCGTGCCCTAACTTACTAACTGGCAACCAGAACTAAAGGGGGTAAACTCTAGTCGATTTTATTACTGGGGTGTAACCTATGTACAAGTTGAGTATATATAGTTACAATGAGGGTGGGCCCGCAAATGGTGGGGCCGAGTGGAGCGGAGCTAATGGGGTTAAACATTAGCCGATTGAATATTACCGACAAGTCGGGTTACGGGGTTAGCGGAATGGTAGGCGATAACCCAGAAACAGAAAGGAGGGATAGGCCCGAAGGTGGGCTTGCAGGGCAAGCAAGTGTATTGCCCAGCGGAGGCAGGAGTGTGCTAGCAGACGTTGGAGCTGTCCGGAAGCCTTCGGGGCTCCGTACTTAGGGAGGTGTAGGTAATATATTGAAAAGAGGGGGTGGTGACCATCGAGGGATGCAGAGGTGATTGCGGAATATGGGGACTCTGAGGTTAGTGAAGCAGGAGCAGAGATAGTCTGGAGGGATCGGAAGCGGTGGAAGTCGATGGCTGTGGATGGATATGACAAGAGCAGTTAGTAAATCTCCCAAAAGTGCAAGTGGGAAACATGAATATGGTTCAGAATAAAAGATGGTTCGTTGTTCTAGGTGTTAGTATTACATAAGAAACCAAACATACCAAAAAAAGCCATATTCTTGGTGTGTCATGAATATTCCGCAAGGGGGTTTTCAAATTGGCTGAGACACTCTACAGACAATGTGCTAGTTGGTCTCAAGGAGAAACAGGGGTCATGTTGGCAGTTGACTTAAGTGAGCACTCAGGTAGCACAGCAGGCATAACTAGTAGGGGTGTGCCCTGGTTCAATGATGATATCGTGAACTGGTGTCAGAGACTGGATGTGGGATGAGGGAGACATCCCTGTGGTGGAGGGCTTTGGCCTCAGCAACTTAGACCAGGAGCGCTGTGCCTAGTTACATGTCTGTGCCCCCTCACCCGCTCCCCGCTACCCATCCTTCCTCCTTCCTCCTTCCTCCCTCTTCCCCTTCCTCCCTTTCCTCCCTTTTCCCTCTTTTCTCTTTCTCCTTTATTTCATTCTCCCTTTCTGTTTATTCTTTCTATTTACACGGACCACCTTCCCTTGTATCATTGTACTGTTGACCCATCCGGCTCGGACACCCCGGACAACTTCCCGCTACGCCCAGCACGCACACCTGCAGCGGATGCCCTCAGGATCCCCCATGGGGATACCTGGATGGCTGCGGCTCTCTCCATAGATGACATGGCACCCATCATGTGACCCAAGCCACATGTACATAAATGTACCTGAAGTGGGAACTGAAGAAGTAACCTTCTTCTCACGTTTTCCACTTCAGGTAAGTAGTGTAGTTCTTCCTTTTAATAACAATTCACATTTTCCACTTCAGTCTAAGTGGCCAGGGACTACAGTCCCAGATCGGGCACATCAGTACGCATGCCCGCTTCGTTCCCCGAGAGGGTCCCTCTGCCGGGCACTACATCCGGGCCCCCTCCACCCTGGACGCGTCTCGACCAGGTCTCTGACACCCACGGCCTTCCAGCGATTCGTCAACATGATCTTTGCCGACCTCCTGGATGTTTCTGTGGTAGTCTGCCTAGACGACATCCTTACCTACTCGGAAGACATGGCTTCACATCAGGAGCATGTCCGAGAAGTTCTTAGGAGACTCCGCAAACACGGCCTATATGCCAATCCGAAGAAATGCGAATTTCATACGGACACTATGGAATACCTTGGATACTGCCTTTCTCCCTCCGGACTCACCATGTCCATCGAGAAGGTTAAAGCTGTCCAAGATTGGCCCGAGCCCCGTAAAGTCAAGGATGTCCAGCCCTTCCTTGGCTTCGCTAACTTCTATCAGCGTTTCATCCACCAATACTCCGACATTGTGGTCCCCTTGACACACCTTATGCATAAAGGAGCCCCCTGGTTATTCTCTGATGATTGTCGCTCTGCTTTCAACACCTTGAAAGAAGCCTTCACTTCTGCTCCTATCCTGACACATTGGTTAGCCGACGCTCCCCTCATTGTAGAAACCAATGCCTCCGATTACGTGATCTCCGGCATCCTGTCCATCTGTTGTGATGACGGAGAGATTCGCCCCATTGCTTTCCGCTCTAGAACACTCTCGGCGCTGGAGCTCAACTACGACACCCATGATAAGGAACTACTCGCCATCCATGACGCATTCTGATCGTGGCATCACTACCTTGAAGGTTCAGGAACTCCAATCAACGTCGTTACCGACCACAAGAACCTCAAGTATTTCTCCACCACCAAACTCTTGACCTGGCGGCAAGCCCGCTGGTCAGAGTTCCTCTCCCAGTTCCACATGACTGTCCGATTCCGTCCCGGAAGACTCGGAGTAAAACCAGATGCGTTGACCAGACGCTGGGACGTCTATCCCAAAGAAGGGGATATGGACTACGCTCGCGTCAACCCACAGAACTTCCGACCGGTCTTCACTTCGGAGCAGCTCACTGCGTCCTTACGAGCCACGTTCCTAGCTGCCACAGTAATCCGAGCAGCCATACTTGTCGACACAGAGGCTCTCCATCGAGACATTCTAGCCTCCCTCTCCTCCGATACCACAATCTCTTCTCATCTCACTTCCCCCAACCTCCCCAATTCCCACTGGTCCGTTGATGCTGAAGGCCTGTTAAGGCTGGACAACCGCATTTACGTTCCGGATTCCAACGATCTCCATCTCCGCATTTTGTGAGACAAACACAACCACCAACTTTCCGGACACTTCGGTCAAAACCGGACTCTGGATCTAGTACGTCATGAGTATACCTGGCTGGGTATCCGTAACTTTGTCAAAAGCTACGTCTCCTCCTGCACTTCTTGTGCCCATGCCAAAGTCCCCTGTCATAAGCCTTACGGCTTGCTCAAACAACTCCCCATCCCTGAACGTCCTTGGAACTCCATCTCCATGGATTTCATCAAACAGCTACCCTCCTCTTCCGGATTCACTTCCATCTTGGTCGTCGTGGACCGCCTGTCCAAACAGTGCATTTTCATTCCTACCCACAACACCATCACCTCTCCGGAACTGGCCAAGCTCTTCCTCCTCCATGTGTTCTCCAAGCACGGAGTTCCTTCCTATGTCACCTCCGACAGGGGTCCAGAGTTTGTCTCTCATTTTTTCTGTTCACTAGGTAAGGCCCTTGACATCCACCTCCACTTCACCTCCGGCTATCATCCGGAAGGAGATGGTCAGACCGAACGGATGAACCAGACGCTTGAGCAGTACCTGTGCATCTATAGTAACTACCAGCAGGACAATTGGTCCGAACTCCTGCCTCTCACGGAGTTCGCATACAACAATGCTCCAAATGCCACCACAGGCATCTCTCTGTTCTTCCCCAACAAAGGCTACCATCCAAACATCACCGTTCACCTGGAGCGAGACCTAACATCAGTACATGCCCAGGAGATCTCGACTCCCTCCATCACTTCCTTCGCAAGGAAATGCACCTCGCTCAGATCTGTTATCAGGGCCCGGCAGACTCCTGTCGGAGTCCTGCCCCAGCTTTCGAAGTAGGAACCTCGGTCTATGTAAAGGCCAAGTATTTCCGCTCCACCCGACCTTCCAAAAAGCTCTCCAAGAAAAACCTCAGCCCATTCGAGATCATTGCCTGTGTAGGAACTCACTCCCTCACTCTCTGCCTGCCGGAAAACATGCGAGCCATTCACCCGGTATTCCATGTCTCGCAGATTGAACCCTCCATCCCGAACATCATTCCGAACCACCACCAGCCACCTCCACCTCCCATAGAAATTGAAGGCGAGATGGAGTTCGAGATCGAGGAGAGACTTGACTCCAAGATCGACCGACATAGATGCAACAAGTTGCTCTACCTGGTCAAGTGGCTAGGCTATGAAGGGACCGATGAGGAGACACAATGGCTCCTTGCCGGCGAACTCAATCACGCCTCCAACCTCGTCGAAGCGTTCCACTCTCGGTACCCAGATAAGCCTGGACCCGAAGCCCCTTAGGAACCCCGACTCCTCTCCCATCTCTCCCTTTCTCTCCACTCCTCACTTCCATTTTCATTTTTTCTTTCTGTAAGTACAGCTCCCCTCACCTTACTAATTCTGGGCCTTCAAGGGTTCAGGCCTAAGAAGGGGATACTGTCATATCCATCCCCGGCCATCGACTTCCACTCCCTCTGATTCCTCCGGTCTACCTCTGCTCCTTCTTCACTAACCTCGGAGCTCCTGTATTCCGCAATCACCTCGGTACCCCTCAATGGCCACCACCCCCTCTTTTCAATTTATTACCTACGCCTCCCTAAGTACAGAGCCCCAAAGGCTTCCAGACAGCTCCGACGTCCGCTAGCGCACTCCTG